GTTTAGGAATTGACATCTTATAAAGTCGTGAGACGACTGCTGTTATGATTTAGAGCTAAACACATATTGAATCCATAAACAGTATGAAACCTCTATAAACGTATTTGCCATTTGCAGTACAACCAAATTGGAACATATTTTCAAAAGGATTAACTATCCTTTTGCTAAATCAGTTCAAAGTTGGAGCAGGACAGTAATCGGCGTCTGTCGTGGTTCTTCCTGGTGCAGCCCTCACCGCGTGCAGCCCTCACCGCGTGCAGCCCTCACCGCGTGCAGCCCTCACCGTGTGCAGCCCTCACCGTGTGCAGCCCTCACCGTGTGCAGCCCTCACCGCGTGCAGCCCTCACCGCGTGCAGCCCTCACCGCGTGCAGCCCTCACCGTGTGCAGCCCTCACCGTGTGCAGCCCTCACCGCGTGCAGCCCTCACCGTGTGCAGCCCTCACCGTTGTGCAGCCCTCACCGTGTGCAGCCCTCACCGCGTGCAGCCCTCACCGCGTGCAGCCCTCACCGCGTGCAGCCCTCACCGCGTGCAGCCCTCACCGTGTGCAGCCCTCACCGCGTGCAGCCCTCACCGCGTGCAGCCCTCACCGCGTGCAGCCCTCACCGCGTGCAGCCCTCACCGCGTGCAGCCCTCACCGTGTGCAGTCCTCACCGCGTGCAGCCCTCACCGCGTGCAGCCCTCACCGCGTGCGGCCCTCACCGCGTGCGGCCCTCACCGCGTGCAGCCCTCACCGTGTGCAGCCCTCACCGCGTGCAGCCCTCACCGCGTGCAGCCCTCACCGCGTGCAGCCCTCACCGCGTGCAGCCCTCACCGCGTGCGGCCCTCACCGCGTGCGGCCCTCACCGCGTGCAGCCCTCACCGCGTGCAGCCCTCACCGTGTGCAGCCCTCACCGCGTGCAGCCCTCACCGTGTGCAGCCCTCACCGTGTGCAGCCCTCACCGCGTGCAGCCCTCACCGCGTGCAGCCCTCACCGCGTGCAGCCCTCACCGCGTGCGGCCCTCACCGCGTGCGGCCCTCACCGCGTGCGGCCCTCACCGCGTGCAGCCCTCACCGCGTGCAGCCCTCACCGCGTGCAGCCCTCACCGTGTGCAGCCCTCACCGCGTGCAGCCCTCACCGCGTGCAGCCCTCACCGTGTGCAGCCCTCACCGCGTGCAGCCCTCACCGCGTGCAGCCCTCACCGTGTGCAGCCCTCACCGCGTGCAGCCCTCACCGCGTGCAGCCCTCACCGCGTGCAGCCCTCACCGCGTGCGGCCCTCACCGCGTGCGGCCCTCACCGCGTGCGGCCCTCACCGCGTGCAGCCCTCACCGTGTGCAGCCCTCACCGTGTGCAGCCCTCACCGCGTGCAGCCCTCACCGTGTGCAGCCCTCACCGTGTGCAGCCAGCGTGGTGCTGCCGCTCTGGGGGACGCTCCAGGGACTCCACTCGGTGCGGCCCTCTCCTCGGGCGCTGACTCTGAACTGATAGTCCGTGTGAGCGTCCAGCTGCAGCACCAGGAACTCCAGCTCTCTGCCGATGTACGCGTCCTCGTACTGGCGCCCCCCGCTGCCCGACCGCCGCCACTGCAGCCGGAAATCTGCAGCCGCAAAGTCCTCGTCCACCTGCGGAGGAGAACCACGCGGAAAACACCAGAGATGACACACTTTAAAGTATTTAGTAAAGTCATCATTAAAGGGCCCTAATCTGTCGTCATGAAAGGGCCCTAATCTGTCATCATTAAAGGGCCCTAATCTGTCATCATTAAAGGGTCCTAATCTGTCATCATTAAAGGGCCCAAATCTGTCATCATTAAAGGGCCCTAATCTGTCATCATTAAAGGGCCCTAATCTGTCATCATTAAAGGGCCCTAATCTCTCATAATAAATAAACTTCTCTTTTCCAATCCTTCTTTAACTGATAACAGTAGTTCAGAGATATTTAAATTTGTAAATTACTTTTCCAGCCTCTAAATCTTGTTATTGTTTTCATTTCGATGTTCCGCCCTCCACCGTTTCACCAATCAGAAAGTCTGTGATCCTGGCGCCAGAACTCACCGCGTGGAGCTAATTAAAGAACTAAAAAAGGTCTCGTTATGATTCTCAAACCATTAACGACAAAACAAGGAATGAAACCAGGATTTCTATCTTTGTGAAAAAGGTGTTGGTTATAGATTTGTTGTTGACTAAACTCTTGTCTATTCAGCTGTTATGGTCCCAGCTGGATTCGTCTGCATATCTGGCAACCTGAGTCAGGGAGAGTGGGAGAGGCTGCAGTACCACTTTTGGCCACACGTTTACACACTGCTGCTATAAGTCAGTGTTTTTCAACCTTTTTTGAGCCAAGGCACACTTTTTTCACTGAAAAAATCTTGCGGCACACCTCCAGGAGAAAATTTAAAAATGTATACAGTACTAATGTAAAAAAATATATACTGTACATACTCTGTGTGATATATAAAGTATATCTTATCTTATAATGTATACAGTATACTCTGTAGCCTATATTCACAATATACAGTTATTCTCATCAAAATGCTTAAGTCCAGGCCTTGAAATTAAGCTTTATTTAATATTTCTCGATACAATTAACAAGAGTTTGGGAATAAAGTGGCACTAACTGTGTGGAAAAAAACTAAGAAAATCCACTCTCTGCCCAAATAGTCAAATAATAACTCACACAAAGAACATGCATTGTTAGTGCATGGGAAAAATTTAGGTATCCGAGCTTTAAATTCAGGAGTTTTGAATGAGGGACACGGGAGGTCCTGAACGCGAGTCCATGGTTCTGTCCGGTCCGCATGTCTGTGGTTCTGTCCACTCGACTACGGTCTGCGCTCGGTACCCAGTTCAGAAGTGCGTTCGCGAGAGCTGTTGTACAAAAATCGTACATTTCATAGTTAAACCACTACAACGCGGCCACACCTGCCCCGGGGCAGAGCGGAGGATGTTAATCCTGTTCAGAAACGGCATAATTCATTTTCAAAAACGTCTCTATCACTTTCACTTCTCACTCGCCACAAAGCTCTTGTCTCGCTCCCTCACACATTTGTTGGTCGCATCCAATTTTACCTTTCTCGCCACAATGCTGACCTGTTACAGCCAGTGGTCGCATCCAATTTTTCAGTTTCAAAGTACTTAGCTATCTGCTGCCATCTACTGATTTGAAAAAGTATTACATGGTTACTCACAGTTCAAAACAAGTCACCGCTCGTCAACAGCGAATGCAGCTATTTTTAGACAAAGTAGACGAATTTCTCACGGCACACCAGACAATATCATACGGCACACTAGTGTGCCGCGGCACAGCGGTTGAAAAACACTGCTATAAGTCATAGTTATTAGATCATCTTGACATGGAACTCCATATCAACAGAAAAAACAATCATACATCTATCTCTCCATCTCTCCATCTCTCCATCTATGTATCTATCTATTTTCCGGTCTTCTCCCGGGTCACTGCTGTACTGGTACTTTTACACACCACTGTGTATTATCATAATCCGGTCTGACCTTGCACCATCGCACCAGGACGCCGCCGGGCCGCTCCTGCAGCTCCTCGATCTGGACCGGAGGATACGAGGAGACCGAGCCGTGGCGGGACACCTTCTCCTTCAGCGCCCCCAGCAGAGAGTCATCGAACTGGGCAGAGACACACGGGACGTCCACCAGAGCAGGGACCTCCGGGAGACTGGGGAGGGACTCAGATTCAGGACATTTGTCATTTGCAGTAAAACCACATTGGAATACATGTGCAAAATTCCCCAATGTTCACCAAGTAAAAATATACAAGAAATATCTAACATCCAGCCAACTTCTGCACTTTCTACGCTCTGTTATGATGACGCTCCTAATGTGATTTTTGTGGTGAACCTCCAGAAAAAGTTGTGAATTTTCCCAGTAAAAACAACGTTCTTTCCAACTGCATGATTTCCGTTAGACAGCGCCATGTTGGATTTGAATCTAAAAAACACGCAGAGTGTGTAGTTTTCACCTGTCCAGCTGGATGTGCAGAGCCTTCTTAGTGAAGCTGCAAAGTTTGTCTTCTTTCTCTCCCAGACCACATCTCAGAGCGGCCTCTCCTGAACACACACACACACACAGACACACACACACACACACACACACACACACACACACACACACACACACACACACACACACACACACACACACACAAACACACACATACACACACACACACACCAGAGAAGGAGAAATTAAAGCTGAAGAAAATACATGTGAAAACTAGAGATAGGAGCAAATTGTTGTGATGGATCTTATTGGTTTGAAAGTTATGTCCCTGAGCTTTAAAGGAATAGGCCCCGTGTTTACAGACTGACACATGTTCTTACCTTAGACTGATATGTTCCTGTGTGGTCTGTGTCCGTGTGCTCTGTCATGCAAACGCAGCCTCTTCCACAGACTGTATAGTTCCAAATTTAAATACAGTTACGTGACGTGTTACTCTACAAAGTATAGTAACACAGAAATGTCCATTTTCTCAGCGGATAAAAAGGAACTATATTGTGAGGCGTAATAATACGAGGAGCGCTACGTCCGTGCACTAACTAAAGACTTCTCTCAAGTCACGCTGCTTCTATTGACGGAAGTGAGCGGGAGAGAGGTCTCGGACACGGACACAGACCAGACAGGAACATAACAACTGGTCTAAGGTAAGAACATGTGTCAGTCTGTAAACACGGGGCCTATTCCTTTAAGTCTGTAGCCTCCTCTCTCCTCTCTCCTCTGGCTGTGGTCCCTGAGCCTCCTCTCTCCTCTGGCTGTGGTCCCTGAGCCTCCTCTCTCCTCTGGCTGTGGTCCCTGAGCCTCCTCTCTCCTCTGGCTGTGGTCCCTGAGCCTCCTCTCTCCTCTGGCTGTGGTCCCTGAGCCTCCTCTCTCCTCTGGCTGTGTTCCCTGAGCCTCCTCTCTCCTCTGGCTGTGGTCCCTGAGCCTCCTCTCTCCTCTGGCTGTGGTCCCTGAGCCTCCTCTCTCCTCTGGCTGTGGTCCCTGAGCCTCCTCTCTCCTCTGGCTGTGGTCCCTGAGCCTCCTCTCTCCTCTGGCTGTGGTCCCTGAGCCTCCTCTCTCCTCTCTGTGGTCCTGAGCCTCTCTCCTCTGGCTGTGGTCCCTGAGCCTCCTCTCTCTCTGGCTGTGGTCCCTGAGCCTCCTCTCTCCTCTGGCTGTGGTCCCTGAGCCTCCTCTCTCCTCTGGCTGTGGTCCCTGAGCCTCCTCTCTCCTCTGGCTGTGGTCCCTGAGCCTCCTCTCTCCTCTGGCTGTGGTCCCTGAGCCTCCTCTCTCCTCTGGCTGTGGTCCCTGAGCCTCCTCTCTCCTCTGGCTGTGGCCTCCTCTTCCTGGCTGCCTCCTCTCTCTCTCCTGGCTGTGGTCCTGAGCCTCCTCTCTCCTCTGGCTGTGGTCCCTGCGCCTCCTCTCTCCTCTGGCTGTGGTCCCTGAGCCTCCTCTCTCCTCTGGCTGTGGTCCTGGCCTCCCTCTCTCCTCTGGCTGTGGTCCCTGAGCCTCCTCTCTCTCCTCTGGCTGTGGTCCCTGAGCCTCCTCTCTCCTCTGGCTGTGGTCCCTGAGCCTCCTCTCTCCTCTGGCTGTGGTCCCTGAGCCTCCTCTCTCCTCTGGCTGTGGTCCTGACCTGGCGCCTCCTCTCTCCTCTGGCTGTGGTCCCTGAGCCTCCTCTCTCCTCTGGCTGTGGTCCCTGAGCCTCCTCTCTCCTCTGGCTGTGGTCCCTGAGCCTCCTCTCTCCTCTGGCTGTGGTCCCTGAGCCTCCTCTCTCCTCTGGCTGTGGTCCCTGAGCCTCCTCTCTCCTCTGGCTGTGGGTCCCTGCGCCTCCTCTCTCCTCTGGCTGTGGTCCCTGAGCCTCCTCTCTCCTCTGGCTGTGTTCCCTGAGCCTCCTCTCTCCTCTGGCTGTGGTCCCTGAGCCTCCCTCCTCTCCTCTGGCTGTGGTCCCTGAGCCTCCTCTCTCCTCTGGCTGTGGTCCCTGAGCCTCCTCTCTCCTCTGGCTGTGGTCCCTGGCCTCCTCTCTCTCTGGCTGTGGTCCCTGAGCCTCCTCTCTCCTCTGGCTGTGGTCCCTGAGCCTCCTCTCTCCTCTGGCTGTGGTCCCTGCGCCTCCTCTCTCCTCTGGCTGTGGTCCCTGAGCCTCCTCTCTCCTCTGGCTGTGGTCCCTGAGCTGGCCTCTCTCCTCTGGCTGTGGTCCCTGCGCCTCCTCTCTCCTCTGGCTGTGGTCCCTGAGCCTCCTCTCTCCTCTGGCTGTGGTCCCTGAGCCTCCTCTCTCCTCTGGCTGTGGTCCCTGAGCCTCCTCTCTCCTCTGGCTGTGGTCCCTGAGCCTCCTCTCTCCTCTGGCTGTGGTCCCTGAGCCTCCTCTCTCCTCTGGCTGTGTTCTCTGAGCCTCCTCTCTCCTCTGGCTGTGGTCCCTGCGCCTCCTCTCTCCTCTGGCTGTGGTCCCTGAGCCTCCTCTCTCCTCTGGCTGTGGTCCCTGCGCCTCCTCTCTCCTCTGGCTGTGGTCCCTGAGCCTCCTCTCTCCTCTGGCTGTGGTCCCTGAGCCTCCTCTCTCCTCTGGCTGTGGTCCCTGAGCCTCCTCTCTCCTCTGGCTGTGGTCCCTGAGCCTCCTCTCTCCTCTGGCTGTGGTCTCTGAGCCTCCTCTCTCCTCTGGCTGTGGTCCCTGAGCCCCCTCTCTCCTCTGGCTGTGGTCCCTGCGCCTCCTCTCTCCTCTGGCTGTGGTCCCTGAGCCTCCTCTCTCCTCTGGCTGTGGTCCCTGAGCCTCCTCTCTCCTCTGGCTGTGGTCCCTGAGCCTCCTCTCTCCTCTGGCTGTGGTCCCTGAGCCTCCTCTCTCCTCTGGCTGTGGTCCCTGAGCCTCCTCTCTCCTCTGGCTGTGGTCCCTGAGCCTCCTCTCTCCTCTGGCTGTGGTTCCTGAGCCTCCTCTCTCCTCTGGCTGTGGTCCCTGAGCCTCCTCTCTCCTCTGGCTGTGGTCCCTGAGCCTCCTCTCTCCTCTGGCTGTGGTCCCTGAGCCTCCTCTCTCCTCTGGCTGTGGTCTCTGAGCCTCCTCTCTCCTCTGGCTGTGGTCCCTGAGCCTCCTCTCTCCTCTGGCTGTGGTCCCTGCGCCTCCTCTCTCCTCTGGCTGTGGTCCCTGAGCCTCCTCTCTCCTCTGGCTGTGGTCCCTGAGCCTCCTCTCTCCTCTGGCTGTGGTCCCTGAGCCTCCTCTCTCCTCTGGCTGTGGTCCCTGAGCCTCCTCTCTCCTCTGGCTGTGGTCCCTGAGCCTCCTCTCTCCTCTGGTTGTGGTCTCTGAGCCTCCTCTCTCCTCTGGCTGTGGTCCCTGCGCCTCCTCTCTCCTCTGGCTGTGGTCCCTGAGCCTCCTCTCTCCTCTGGCTGTGGTCCCTGAGCCTCCTCTCTCCTCTGGCTGTGGTCCCTGAGCCTCCTCTCTCCTCTGGCTGTGGTCCCTGAGCCTCCTCTCTCCTCTGGCTGTGGTCCCTGAGCCTCCTCTCTCCTCTGGCTGTGGTCCCTGAGCCTCCTCTCTCCTCTGGCTGTGGTCCCTGCGCCTCCTCTCTCCTCTGGCTGTGGTCCCTGCGCCTCCTCTCTCCTCTGGCTGTGGTCCCTGCGCCTCCTCTCTCCTCTGGCTGTGGTCCCTGAGCCTCCTCTCTCCTCTGGCTGTGGTCCCTGAGCCTCCTCTCTCCTCTGGCTGTGGTCCCTGAGCCTCCTCTCTCCTCTGGCTGTGGTCCCTGCGCCTCCTCTCTCCTCTGGTTGTGGTCCCTGCGCCTCCTCTCTCCTCTCTCCTCTGGCTGTGGTCCCTGAGCCTCCTCTCTCCTCTGGCTGTGGTCCCTGCGCCTCCTCTCTCCTCTGGCTGTGGTCCCTGAGCCTCCTCTCTCCTCTGGCTGTGGTCCCTGAGCCTCCTCTCTCCTCTGGCTGTGGTCCCTGCGCCTCCTCTCTCCTCTGGCTGTGGTCCCTGCGCCTCCTCTCTCCTCTGGCTGTGGTCCCTGCGCCTCCTCTCTCCTCTGGCTGTGGTCCCTGCGCCTCCTCTCTCCTCTGGCTGTGGTCCCTGCGCCTCCTCTCTCCTCTGGCTGTGGTCCCTGAGCCTCCTCTCTCCTCTGGCTGTGGTCCCTGAGCCTCCTCTCTCCTCTGGCTGTGGTCCTGAGCCTCCTCTCTCCTCTGGCTGTGGTCCCTGAGCCTCCTCTCTCCTCTGGCTGTGGTCCCTGAGCCTCCTCTCTCCTCTGGCTGTGGTCCCTGAGCCTCCTCTCTCCTCTGGCTGTGGTCCCTGAGCCTCCTCTCTCCTCTGGCTGTGGTCCCTGAGCCTCCTCTCTCCTCTGGCTGTGGTCCCTGCGCCTCCTCTCTCCTCTGGTTGTGGTCCCTGCGCCTCCTCTCTCCTCTCTCCTCTGGCTGTGGTCCCTGAGCCTCCTCTCTCCTCTGGCTGTGGTCCCTGCGCCTCCTCTCTCCTCTGGCTGTGGTCCCTGAGCCTCCTCTCTCCTCTGGCTGTGGTCCCTGAGCCTCCTCTCTCCCTCTGGCTGTGGTCCCTGAGCCTCCTCTCTCCTCTGGTTGTGGTCTCTGAGCCTCCTCTCTCCTCTGGCTGTGGTCCCTGCGCCTCCTCTCTCCTCTGGCTGTGGTCCCTGAGCCTCCTCTCTCCTCTGGCTGTGGTCTCTGAGCCTCCTCTCTCCTCTGGCTGTGGTCCCTGCGCCTCCTCTCTCCTCTGGCTGTGGTCCCTGAGCCTCCTCTCTCCTCTGGCTGTGGTCCCTGCGCCTCCTCTCTCCTCTGGTTGTGGTCCCTGCGCCTCCTCTCTCCTCTCTCCTCTGGCTGTGGTCCCTGAGCCTCCTCTCTCCTCTGGCTGTGGTCCCTGCGCCTCCTCTCTCCTCTGGTTGTGGTCCCTGCGCCTCCTCTCTCCTCTCTCCTCTGGCTGTGGTCCCTGAGCCTCCTCTCTCCTCTGGCTGTGGTCCCTGCGCCTCCTCTCTCCTCTGGCTGTGGTCCCTGAGCCTCCTCTCTCCTCTGGCTGTGGTCCCTGAGCCTCCTCTCTCCTCTGGCTGTGGTCCCTGAGCCTCCTCTCTCCTCTGGTTGTGGTCTCTGAGCCTCCTCTCTCCTCTGGCTGTGGTCCCTGCGCCTCCTCTCTCCTCTGGCTGTGGTCCCTGAGCCTCCTCTCTCCTCTGGCTGTGGTCCCTGAGCCTCCTCTCTCCTCTGGCTGTGGTCCCTGAGCCTCCTCTCTCCTCTGGTTGTGGTCCCTGAGCCTCCTCTCTCCTCTGGCTGTGGTCCCTGAGCCTCCTCTCTCCTCTGGCTGTGGTCCCTGAGCCTCCTCTCTCCTCTGGCTGTGGTCCCTGAGCCTCCTCTCTCCTCTGGCTGTGGTCCCTGCGCCTCCTCTGGTGTGGTCCCTCTCCTCTGGCTGTGGTCCCTGAGCCTCCTCTCTCCTCTGGCTGTGGTCCCTGAGCCTCCTCTCTCCTCTGGCTGTGGTTCCTGAGCCTCCTCTCTCCTCTGGCTGTGGTCCCTGCGCCTCCTCTCTCCTCTGGCTGTGGTCCCTGAGCCTCCTCTCTCCTCTGGCTGTGGTCCCTGCGCCTCCTCTCTCCTCTGGCTGTGGTCCCTGAGCCTCCTCTCTCCTCTGGCTGTGGTCCCTGAGCCTCCTCTCTCCTCTGGCTGTGGTCCCTGAGCCTCCTCTCTCCTCTGGCTGTGGTCCCTGAGCCTCCTCTCTCCTCTGGCTGTGGTCCCTGCGCCTCCTCTCTCCTCTGGCTGTGGTCCCTGAGCCTCCTCTCTCCTCTGGCTGTGGTCCCTGAGTCTGCGTACCCTCTCGCAGCAGGTCGTCGGCCTGGCCCACTCCGTGCTCGATCAGGACCTGACAGTCGTCCAGGGGTTTGATGCTCTGGGCCTCGATCTCCTCCACCTCCTGCAGCAGCGCCTCCAGCCGCTCCTCCAGCAGCCGAGAGGCGGAGGACTGCAGCTCCAAGAAGTGTCTGCGGAGGGCGTCCCGGGCCTGAGTGGAGCTGCCCCGCACCTACAGCAGAGGAAGAGAGGAAATGCTAACCCCAAACTGTAGACAGATGCTAATGCTAACACAGACTGTTTACAGATGCTAATGCTAACACAGACTGTTTACAGATGCTAATGCTAACACAGACTGTATACAGATGCTAATGCTAACACAGACTGTATACAGATGCTAATGCTAACACAGACTAATACTTATGGACAATGCTATACATTATATATATATATATATATATATATATATATATATATATATATATATATATATATATATGTGTGTGTGTATTTGTTTTCTCTTTTATTGTATTAATGAATCATTCAATATGAATACTACATCAGTCTAACTCTTTGTAGAAGCAGAGACGGTGGAGAAAGCTCTAAAGTTTGTGGTTTCACTTCCTCTGTCGCTGATTTCACAATGACTCAAAAGTCTTCAGGAAGAGGACAGTCCACCCAGACCGTCCGACTGGAGACCGCAGACCTCTCCTGTAATGGACTATTAATGGAAGGTCTATAAATACAGACCTGGAGCCAGACCCGGACTCTCTGCGGTCCAGATCCAGAGCTGATAATATTGTCTCAGAGTCTGACTGCGGTCGTTTGGGAAGACAGAGAGATCAGAGTCTGCGATATGAGGCGGAAGACAATACCCAGAGAAGTGAAGAGAGATCTTAGTGAGACCGTTCTGAGACCCATTTAAAACATGCTTCTCAAACAGAGGTACAGGGGCCAAAGGACATGATTTCTGAGTTGACATTGACAGACCTCATTAATGTCCTGGTTCTACAGCCTCAGACCTGGGTCTACAGCCTCAGTCCTGGGTCTACAGCCTCAGTCCTGGGTCTACAGCCTCAGTCCTGGGTCTACAGCCTCAGTCCTGGGTCTACAGCCTCAGTCCTGGGGCTACAGCCTCAGTCCTGGGTCTACAGCCTCAGACCTGGGTCTACAGCCTCAGTCCTGGGTCTACAGCCTCAGTCCTGGGTCTACAGCCTCAGTCCTGGGGCTACAGCCTCAGTCCTGGGGCTACAGCCTCAGTCCTGGATCTACAGCCTCAGTCCTGGGTCTACAGCCTCAGTCCTGGGTCTACAGCCTCAGTCCTGGGTCTACAGCAGCCTCAGTCCTGGGTCTACAGCCTCAGTCCTGGATCTACAGTCTCAGTCCTGGGTCTACAGCCTCAGTCCTGGGTCTACAGCCTCAGTCCTGGATCTACAGCCTCAGTCCTGGGTCTACAGCCTCAGTCCTGTACCGCAGCTCAGTACCTGTGATCTGGCCTGGTTCAGTCCCTGTAGTCTCAGTACCTGTGATCTGGCCTGGTTCAGTCCCTGTAGTCTCAGCTGTACCTGTGATCTGGCCTGGTTCAGTCCCTGTAGTCTCAGCTGTACCTGTGATCTGGCCTGGTTCAGTCCCTGTAGTCTCAGCTGTACCTGTGATCTGGCCTGGTTCAGTCCCTGTAGTCTCAGCTGTACCTGTGATCTGGCCTGGTTCAGTCCCTGTAGTCTCAGTACCTGTGATCTGGCCTGGTTCAGTCCCTGTAGTCTCAGTACCTGTGATCTGGCCTGGTTCAGTCCCTGTAGTCTCAGCTGTACCTGTGATCTGGCCTGGTTCAGTCCCTGTAGTCTCAGCTGTACCTGTGATCTGGCCTGGTTCAGTCCCTGTAGTCTCAGCTGTACCTGTGATCTGGCCTGGTTCAGTCCCTGTAGTCTCAGCTGTACCTGTGATCTGGCCTGGTCAGTCCTAGTCCCTGTAGTCTCAGTCTAGCTGTACCTGTGATCTGGCCTGGTTCAGTCCCTGTAGTCTCAGCTGTACCTGTGATCTGGCCTGGTTCAGTCCCTGTAGTCTCAGTACCTGAGATCTGGCCTGGTTCAGTCCCTGTAGTCTCAGCTGTACCTGTGATCTGGCCTGGTTCAGTCCCTGTAGTCTCAGTACCTGTGATCTGGCCTGGTTCAGTCCCTGTAGTCTCAGCTGTACCTGTGATCTGGCCTGGTTCAGTCCCTGTAGTCTCAGCTGTACCTGTGATCTGGCCTGGTTCAGTCCCTGTAGTCTCAGCTGTACCTGTGATCTGGCCTGGTTCAGTCCCTGTAGTCTCAGCTGTACCTGTGATCTGTGGTTCAGTCCCTGTAGTCTCAGCTGTACCTGTGATCTGGCCTGGTTCAGTCCCTGTAGTCTCAGCTGTACCTGTGATCTGGCCTGGTTCAGTCCCTGTAGTCTCAGCTGTACCTGTGATCTGGCCTGGTTCAGTCCCTGTAGTCTCAGTACCTGAGATCTGGCCTGGTTCAGTCCCTGTAGTCTCAGCTGTACCTGTGATCTGGCCTGGTTCAGTCCCTGTAGTCTCAGTACCTGTGATCTGGCCTGGTTCAGTCCCTGTAGTCTCAGTACCTGTGATCTGGCCTGGTTCAGTCCCTGTAGTCTTAGTACCTGTGATCTGGCCTGGTTCAGTCCCTGTAGTCTCAGTACCTGTGATCTGGCCTGGTTCAGTCCCTGTAGTCTCAGCTGGAGCTCACTGCGATAGTTCTGAGCAGCTTCGATGCTTTCTTTGGCCTCCTGCAGGAGATCCACCTCCGCAGACATCCTCCTCCTGCAAACACACACACACTGGTGTTTTCATCACCTCCTCCTTCTCTCTTTCACATGTTTCTCTCTTTCACATGTTTCTCTCTTTCACATGTTTCTCTCTTTCACATGTTTCACTCTTTCACATGTTTCTCTCTTTCACATGTTTCACTCTTTCACATGTTTCACTCTTTCACACGTTTCTCTCTTTCACATGTTTCTCTCTTTCACATGTTTCACTCTTTCACATGTTTCTCTCTTTCACGTGTTTCTCTCTTTCACATGTTTCACTCTTTCACATGTTTCACTCTTTCACATGTTTTTCTCTGTCACATGTTTCACTCTTTCACATGTTTCTCTCTTTCACATGTTTCACTCTTTCACATGTTTCACTCTTTCACATGTTTCACCCTTACACATGTTTCTCTCTTTCACATGTTTCACTCTTTCACATGTTTCTCTCTTTCACATGTTTCACTCTTTCAAATGTTTCACTCTTTCACATGTTTCTCTCTTTCACATGTTTCACTCTTTCACATGTTTCACTCTTTCACATGTTTCACTCTTTCACATGTTTTACTCTTTCACATGTTTCTCTCTTTCACATGTTTCACTCTTTCACATGTTTCACTTTTTCACATGTTTCTCTCTTTCACATGTTTCACTCTTTCACATGTTTTTCTCTTTCACATGTTTCTCTCTTTCACATGTTTCACTCTTTCACATGTTTCACTCTTTCACATGTTTCACTCTTTCACATGTTTCACTCTTTCACATGTTTCTCTCTTTCACATGTTTCACTCTTTCACATGTTTCACTCTTTCACATGTTTCTCTCTTTCACATGTTTCTCTCTTTCACATGTTTCACTCTTTCACATGTTTCTCTCTTTCACATGTTTCACTCTTTCACATGTTTCACTCTTTCACATGTTTCACTCTTTCACATGTTTCTCTCTTTCACATGTTTCACTCTTTCACATGTTTCTCTCTTTCACATGTTTCACTCTTTCACATGTTTCACTCTTTCACATGTTTCACTCTTTCACATGTTTCACTCTTTCACATGTTTCACTCTTTCACATGTTTCTCTCTTTCACATGTTTCACTCTTTCAAATGTTTCACTCTTTCACATGTTTCTCTCTTTCACATGTTTCACTCTTTCACATGTTTCACTCTTTCACATGTTTTACTCTTTCACATGTTTCTCTCTTTCACATGTTTCTCTCTTTCACATGTTTCTCTCTTTCACATGTTTCACTCTTTCACATGTTTCACTCTTTCACATGTTTCACTCTTTCACATGTTTCTCTCTTTCACATGTTTCACTCTTTCACATGTTTCTCTCTTTCACATGTTTCACTCTTTCACATGTTTCACTCTTTCACATGTTTCACTCTTTCACATGTTTCACTCTTTCACATGTTTCTCTCTTTCACATGTTTCTCTCTTTCACATGTTTCTCTCTTTCACATGTTTCACTCTTTCACATGTTTCACTCTTTCACATGTTTCACTCTTTCACATGTTTCACTCTTTCACATGTTTCACTCTTTCACATGTTTCTCTCTTTCACATGTTTCACTCTTTCAAATGTTTCACTCTTTCACATGTTTCTCTCTTTCACATGTTTCACTCTTTCACATGTTTCACTCTTTCACATGTTTCACTCTTTCACATGTTTCACTCTTTCACATGTTTCTCTCTTTCACATGTTTCTCTCTTTCACATGTTTCTTTCTCTTTTCACATGTTTCTCTCTCTTTCACATGTTTCTTTACTCTTTCACATGTTTCTCTCTTTCACATGTTTCACTCTTTCACATGTTTCACTCTTTCACATGTTTCACTCTTTCACATGTTTTACTCTTTCACATGTTTCACTCTTTCACATGTTTCACTCTTTCACATGTTTCACTCTTTCACATGTTTAGGGTCATCTTTATTCTACTGCATTCCTGAATTTCTCCAACAGAGATCAATAAAGTATCTACTGTATCTGTGCATGTACAGAGCAAAAGTGTGGACACCCTCTCTTTCACTGAGTTCTTTTCATGACTATTGCTGTAGACCCGCACCAGGCTGTCAGGGCCGGACCTGAACCCAGTCCAGATGGTTTTGGACCTGAACCCAGTCCAGATGGTTTTGGACCTGAACCCAGTCCAGATGGTTTTGGACCTGAACCCAGTCCAGATGGTTTTGGACCTGAACCCAGTCCAGATGGTTTTAGACCTGAACCCAGTCCAGATGGTTTTAGACCTGAACCCAGTCCAGATGGTTTTGGACCTGAACCCAGTCCAGATGGTTTTGGACCTGAACCCAGTCCAGATGGTTTTGGGGCTGGACCACAGAGTGAAGGGGCCAACAAGTGCTAAGCATCATGGGAACTCCTTCCAGACTGTTGGAGACCATTTCAGGTCCTGTTGAAGCTCATCCAGAGAATGCCAAGAGTGAAGCAGTATCAGAGCAAAAGGAGCTACTTTGAAGAACCAGAATTTAACACATATGACAAAAGGCCAAAAATTAGATTTTAATAATCAGAAGATATTTTATGTTTTTCATGTTTCCAAGCACCTCCTCTGTTCATTAGAAGTTTCTAGAACAAAACTGTTTTATACATTAGACATGTTTCCTATAGCGGCCCTGTTTATTTTATGTTACGACGATGATTTGACGGAATGAGCTTTGTGGAAGTTTGATGGTATTTTCAGATCCACATTTGATTCAGAGATTCTATTTTTTTACACAAAGTAGATGCAAAGTGATACTTTCATATTGTCAAGCAATTAAATGTGAAAACAGACCAGATTTTTTTTTTTCTCAAGTTTAATTTTTAGAGAAAAGAGGACCGTCCTCATCGCCTCCGTTATACATTTTTCAGGGGTCATTTAATTAATAAAAAAAAAAACGATTCCTTTTTATATGAAGTTATTTCCTTCTGTTGTGTTAACCATGTAAATCTGTGGGATTTCATCTTCTGCTTTTTCAGACTGAGGACATACTGCGATACTGCGAAAGTATTCGGCCCCCTTGAACCTTTCAACATTTCGCCACATTTCAGGCTTCAAACATAAAGATATAAAATTTGAATTTTTTGTCATGAATCAACAACAAGTGGGACACAATCGTGAAGTGGAACGAAATTTATTGGATGATTTAAACTTTTATAACAAATAAAAAACTGAAAAGTGGGGCGTGCAATATTATTTGGCCCCTTTACTTTCAGTGCAGCAAACTCAGTCCAGAAGTTCAGTGAGGATCTTTGAATGATCCAATGTTGTCCTAAATGACTGATGATGATAAATAGAATGCACCTGTGTGTAATCAAGTCTCCGTATAAATGCACCTGCTCTTTGATAGTCTCAGGGTTCTGTTTAAAGCACAGAGAGAACCATGAAGACAAAGGAACACTCCAGGCAGGTCCGAGATACTGTTGTGGAGAAGTTTAAAGCCGGATTTGGATACAAAAAGATTTCCCAAGCTTTAAACATCTCAAGGAGCACTGTGCAAGCAATTATATTGAAATGGAAGGAGTATCAGACCACTGCAAATCTACCAAGACCCGGCCGTCCCTCCAAACTTTCATCTCAAACAATGAGAAGACTGATCAGAGATGCAGCCAAGAGGCCCATGATCACTCTGGGTGAACTGCAGATAACTACAGCTGAGGTGGGAGAGTCTGTCCATAGGACAACAATCAGTCGTGCACTGCACAAATCTGGCCTTTATGGAAGAGTGGCAAGAAGAAAGCCATTTCAATTTGGAGAGACGAGAAACAGGAAGTTTTGAGTATTTTATTGAAAGGAGGTTTGGCGCCCTAGGTCCCGGTGCAGCCTTCAGATCGGAAAGGCTCCTGCGATGGAGCGCGCACAATCCCCCGGGACCTAGGCACTGGTGGCGGCATTTGGCAGCGGGAAGCAGATTGAAGGCAGATTGGAGGCAGGGTGAAGAGGAGGAGGAGGGGAGGCGGTGGTTGCGAGGCTTCAGGAGGCCGGTAGTGGTAGTTTCTCCGTTTTTATGCGGCTGGCGAGTCGGTACAGATGATTGGAAGGGGGCGTCTGCTGAGCGATAGGCTGGGGATGCGAGCCGGTCTGGAGGGGGTAATTTTGGTTAACGTCTACCAAATTGAATTTTCGCTGGCTGCATTTCAATTTGGAGAGACGAGAAACAGGAAGTTTTGAGTATTTTATTGAAAGGAGGTTTGGCGCCCTAGGTCCCGGTGCGGCCTTCAGATCGGAAAGGCTCCTGCGATGGAGCGCGCACAATCCCCAAAAAGGCTGCGTGTTGATGGAGTTTTCGAAGCCTGGTTTGGAGGGGACAGACGTCGTTACTGCTCTATTCTGTGACCGCTATCGCTAAGCTGTGACCGCTATCGCTATGCTGTGACCGCTATCGCTATATGCTGTGACCGCTATCGCTATATGCTGTGACCGCTATCGCTATATGCTGTGACCGCTATCACTATATGCTGTGACCGCTATCGCTATGCTGTGACCGCCAGCGCAATGCTGCTAACCATTTTTTGCTATATGCTGTGACCGCTATCGCTATATGCTGTAACGCTACGCTATATGCTACCGCTATCTAGCTGTGACGCTATATGCTGTGACCGCTATCGCTAAGCTGTGACCGCTATCGCTATATGCTGTGACCGCTATCACTATATGCTGTGACCGCTATCGCTATGCTGTGACCGCCAGCGCAATGCTGCTAACCATTTTTTGCTATATTGCTGTGACCGCTATCGCTATATGCTGTAACCGCTATCGCTATATGCTGTGACCGCTATCGCTATATGCTGTGACCGCTATCGCTATATGCTGTGACCGCTATCGCTATATGCTGTGACCGCTATCGCTATATGCTGTGACCGCTATCGCTATATGCTGTGACCGCTATCGCTATATGCTGTGACCGCTATCGCTATATGCTGTGACCGCTATCTACTGTGATCAATACTTGCGGATACTCGGCTGCTACGGCGCCTATCCGGAGGGAGTGAGCTGCGTAGAGATGGGGAGA